GGTTCTTTTTTATATTATTTGAGCTTTGTGATTCAGGAAAGAACCTTTGAATTTATGAAGCCCTTAAGCATATGCTTAATTTTAGCCCTGTGCTTATAATCAAGCGTGTATTGTTGAGGTGTTGTTCTGAATCTACGACTTAATTTCTAGTAGACTTGTTTATGTGAATGGAAAGGCATATTTTAAGAGAAAAAAGAAGTGATAAGTCATCAGCTAGTTCCAAAAACCCTGAGCTAATTTGCATGAGAAAGATTCAAGGCTCTCTGTATTGTTATATGTGAGATGGCAGACACCCATACATTTATCTAGTGTAGTGCTCGTTATCCTCAAAACTTTGTAAAGTTTTATTCTACCATTGTTTGTCACAAAATCCACTACAGCTACAGATACGTCTTTCTTTGTCCCAGAAACTTCCTTTGAAGCTTGAATTGAGCTTAAGCACATATAGAATCGCAGTTTTGTCCTCACTTGAAAAACGCCTATCCCGTGGCTTCATGGTACTGCAAAGAAAAAGCAACATGTATTCCTGCACAGGTGACGCCAGAGGCTTGCTACGCAGAAATCTAATCAGACACATTCCCGCACTACATCTTCCCAGGCGGAGCACATGGATTAAGGGATTCACTTTTACTCCCCCAGGGATTTGGAATACAGTCCCTAAATTCCAGGAGGAAGCAGAACTTGACCGCTTGAGCATCTTCCTTGATTTCTTTCTGCTCCCAAACCATCTGCTTCTGTGTGGTAATAGTCCTCTGCTGTTTGTTAACCTACTTAATGCTCTAGCATAAGCTGTAGTAATTTACGCTGGATGTTTGGGTTTCACATGGTACTAATGGTATCTAATGAACTGTGGCTACAGAAACATCTGTTCTATGCAATAGTTAATTTTGTTCTGTTTTTGATCCCGGTGATCAGATATACAAAAAATAGTTCTTTAGGCTGCAGAGATTAGAATTCAAAACTTGAGTACTGAAAAAGGCCAGATTTAATATTACCCATGCAACCTTAATTTATCTCCCATTTGTTTATGCATTGTTGGATATTGATGCGTGATATTACTTAGTCCTTTTGTACAGAATACTTGCCAAATGAAAAAGGGGCTGAAGGAAGGTTGAATGGGACACTTCTTATAGAAGACTGCAGTATCCTAATTTAAGCATACAACTAGAAGCTAGGGAACTTCTCTATTTAATTTTGTGTGTAGCATTTATATGATACAATTGAGCAATATGGCAGAAGAATCTGTGCAAGAATTCACTTACAAGTAAGAAAACTGCAAAACTTGAAACTGAGCTATTAATATTAATGAAAGCTATACTCCAAAATAACGTGAGTGAGAAATGGGATATGCTAAAAACAAACAGTGATATACTGTTTGTACTTAACCAGGAAAGTAAGAAAAGTGCTACTTAATTATAACGTTGCAGAGTTAATAATGCAGTTGAAATCTTAGCTCTTTCTAACTTGAGTGCTTAATTTCTCAGTCTTAATGTTGCAGTAATGCTGTTTCCAGATTTAATTTCCGTATGTTTATTTGTTTTTAGCAACTCAGAAGGCAAATAAGAGACACGCATTGTGAAACTCCTGTAATGAGATGTTAGTGCTACTAACATGCCTTACATTTTGTATAAAGTTGCTGATTGTGTTTAGTGTCACCTCAGCGGCGCTAAATCATTTCAACAGAGGTTTACTCTTACCTCCAGTGTCATTAAAGTTCTCCAAGTTTAGGAAATGCTTTTGAAAAAACAGAACAAAACCCCTCATGTTCCTGTATGAAAATGTCACCTTATAACATTCATAGCTTTAAAAATAAAAACCAGATTTTCTTCAGATATGAACCCTTTATCCTTCCCCTGTGGGACTCTAAAGGAGCTATTTAAACTCGTGTGATCATACAGTTAAAGGCTGGGCTGACTCAGCAAAGTGTTTAACTATGTGCTTAAATTCTATTGTGATCAATAGAATTTGAGCATGTGCTTAAATATTATGCTGAGAAGGAATGGATTTACACACGTGTTTAAAGCTAAGCATGTACCAATGTAGGCCCATAATACATCGAAGCAAGTCAGAAGAATTCAGGCTGTAAAAGCCCTACCTTTGAGGTGGCTGACTTTGTAAGTAAAATATTTTGGTATAATTTTTATATATAATCTAAAATATAAAGCACAATGCTGTAGTTATGGTCTGTGAATTAGCTAACATAAGATAGTTTGTGTGTCTGTCAGTTTAAAATACGTACGCCAAAATTAAGAACGCTTGCAGCTAAATATCTGAATGTACATTTTCTACTCTTGAAAATAGTTTGCTTTTATTTAGTTGCTGAAGTACATGAAGTCAGTTAGAGCTGTGAATGCTATCTTTAAAAATGCAGCTGCGTATATAAGAAGTTAAAAACACGTATGGGTACCTAATACCAGGATCCCACACTCCAGCGTTTTCCATGTTCTGACCTGTTTTTAACTGATTCCTCCAGTGTTCCCCTGTAATACGAGACTTGATTATTTTGAGGCACTGAATCACTAAACAGGGTCATGTTCTGGTTGGCTCAAGGGCATAAGCAATTCCACTTTTTTGTTTACTTCTGGCTATAAAAAGCTTTTTCTGCATTAGAGAAGATTTCTGCTTCTATTGGTGATCCCCCTTGAACTCGTGTTAAGCATCTTCTGCCCTGCACCGTCAAAGTGCCATGCATTTCCCACAAAGCATTGGGGATATTTTTATTTTCAAGAGAAAAATGTTCACAGTGCCAGCTTGTCAGCTGTCAGTAGTCCGATGCTACGTGTGATGTCCATCCCCTGTCTTGCACTGCAGCACCCTGCCCATCGCTGTGCTGCCACTGCCCGTGTCTGTGCCCCTGGGCAGAGCTGGGGACAGGCTGTATGCTACGCTTTCCCCCTTCCCCGGGAGGATGCTCCGGGGAGAGCTGCAGGGAGGGAAGGGATAAGGCAAGGAGAGGGGCTGTCGAGCAGCGATAGGTGCTAACTGGAGGATCCTGTGAGGAAAACCCCATCGTCAGCCGCTGTGGTCTCCGTCTGTCTGGGGGACAGATCCCAGCTGTCAGCAGGACCAGGTCATGTGGCACATGGAGGAAGCAAAGGTTTTGGATGGTGGAGGAGACGTGAGCCACAGACCTCCCAGGTGCCAGCCAGTATCCACAGGAGTATCACAGTACTTTGTTATTGTGAATCTTTTCTATGGTAACACAATTGTGAGAAATTAAAAAACAACAAATTGCCCTTGGCTGTGATCTGTCGTGTTAGTTGAAGAGCAGACGGGCGATCCTTATCCAAAAGGCAGAACCCAGCCTCAAATATTGGAGAGATTCTTGTGACTTCAGGAGCAAAAAATACCAGAGATGGTTGAGAATTTGGTGGATTTCTAGAAAGCTCCAAGACAATCTCTGTATTGGCTTCTTGTTTACAGTGAGGAATCTCGTCCCTGTGGCCGTTGTTGCTCCCCTAGGCAGGGACGTGGAAAGGGGCTTGTAATTTTGGTAGGTGAGTGGTCAGGCTGCTCTGTCGTATAGGTAGGGAGTGACAGGCTTTGGTCACCTGTGTAACAAGTGCTATAGGGCAGAGCAGGACCCAGAGAGGTGAAGTACCATCTGTAACAGTGAAATGAAACTTACCTACATGCAGGTATATGAATCAGCAAAGAAGATACGCAACTTTTGAAATACCATTATGAAAAATAAACTTCACGTAGCATGCGTGAAACCTGCCGCGATGCAGATGAGCGTGGTGCTCTTGTCTGATACACTGGCAGACGCTGCTCTGCTGAAACCACATCATCGTGTGAAAGACGCCACGCAAATTGCCTAATGCTTCTAAAAATAAGTGTGAGCTGCTCAGCCCCTCTCCAAATTTTAGCAAGTCAACTGCACTCATAGTCGGTGAGCGTGCCTAACATGCTGTGCCACAACTGGTGACTTACTATAAGAATTGTATCAAGCATGCTAAATATGGAAAGGCTGCTTATAACTGCACGCACAAAACCCGGTCCCTCGTGAGCATCTGCTCCCCCCTGGTCCGATTAGCTTGAGAAATCGCTTCTCCGGAGGCGGCCACGGGTGCTGCAGGGAGCAGGCAGCAGCCCGGCTCCCTCGCCAAAGCCAACTGCGGCGTAGCCAGAGAAACGGGCAGCAAAAATAGAACAGCAGGATGGCTGCGCGTGGGCGAGGCAGAAACCACATCGCCAGCAAAACCTCCCGGCGTTATTTTGGGACCGATACAGAGGCCGTGGCGTTTTGCTCGCTTTTCGCAAAACGCTCCTCAGGGGAGGGCAAGGAGGGGGAGGGGCGCGAGTCCCCGGCGAGGAGCGCTTCTGTCCCGCTCCCTGCTCCCTGCCTTGCCTTCCTCCCTCCCTCCCCGGCTTCTCCCCACCGGGTCGGGCTGGGCAGCGGGAAGGGGTTAATCACGCTCAAGGCCGAGCGGTGGAGGGAGGACGGCGGCGGTTTGAAAGACAGAGACTGGACAGCTGTGTTTGCCGTGGTATTTTTAAACGCATTAATGCAGGCTCCAATCACCCGGCCATGCTTGACCTATTTTTGGCTCAGGCCGGCCATTGTTCTATTTCTGCCGCCCCTGGGCCGCGCGGGTGTCGATTCAAATGCAAATGAGTTATCGGTGCTGCTCCCGCCAACTTCGCCCAGCCGCCCGGCCGAGGGAGAGCCGGCCGGGGAGAGGAGAGGGGCGCGGGGACGGCAGCACTGGTCCCGGCTGGGGTAATTCAGACTAAACCCTGGGGGGCTCCCGGCCCCTGGAAAGGTGGCTTGTTTGGTTTGATGTCCAGCAGGCGCGGGCTGCTGAGAGTGGATCTGGGGCTTTTCCCCTCTCCCGATAGACATACTTGTGCAAATGCTTACACATTGCTAATTGGCGAAGCGTATTATCTTACAGCCCTCGCTGGAGGAGGTAGGACCGCAGAGGGTCGTGCCTGACGCCCCTGTGCAAGTGCAGTGATGAATCTCTCGTGTAGCTGAAGTGCAGACCAGTTGGAATATGCTGCAGACAATTTACGAGAGTGAATCGTGTTTTTCCTCAGATGGGGTTTCTGGACGTGAACAGCTCTTGGCTCAGCAAAGAACACACAGTATGATCAGCTCAGGTAAGAGACAGCTCCGTACCTCACACTTCAGTGCCTGACCGGGAAAATACAGCCTCGCACGAAAGAAAACGCCCTTTCTCTAAAGAAGTGACTTTATTTTTATGGGCTTTATATATGTTATTATTAAATAATTATGGCGGGATGTTAAATAGCAGCTGCTTGTTTTTCGGGGAGTTTGTCTCCTTCAGTCTGCTGCTTTGCAGCTGGAGGAAAATGCTTACAGCCAAAATCTAGTTTGGGATTCCTTGGTTGTTTTGTTGCGTGCTTGCAAATTGGGGCTCGTGGTACAGGCTTATTAACAGCGAGAGGCTTCCTCAGACAGCCCTTGTCAGGAGCCTGCAGTCAGAGCCCCTCATAGGCAATTCTGGTCATACATCTGTTGTAAACAGGATTTAGTCTTTCTGGGGGTTTCCTTTTCTCCTGTTCTTATACAAAGGGAGTTTAATACTAATCCCTTTCTCTTTTAATTACAGTGTTACTTTAAAATGTTGTTAATATGCATGGCTTATTTTGTTACTTAAAAATATTTGGGAACCTGGCAATAGTAGTCCTATGTAATGACTCACTGAGATGTAAATTGGATGTGTTTCTTAATGAAAGTATTTCAAAGCTGCTCTGAAAGAAAACTGGACATTTCCTCATGTATTTGAAGCTACCCTTCAATTTTGTAATTTCCTTGCTAGCTATGTTTGAGATCTGCAAATGATGTGCTGAGGATTAATTAAGTTGGAAGAATTGTTGCCATTCAGATACAATGGCAATTTAGACAGGCTAAAAAAGTCAAAATTTCAGGTTACTCTCATCCATTCTCTCTTAAACTCTGTGAATTACAGTTCTGTATTCGTTGAACTGAAACTCTGGCTTTTGAGACACAATGTTGTCTGTTTTATATCTTTTCAAGCCTAGGTTTCTGACTTTGTTTTTCGTAAAGTTGGCTTTATACAGGACCTATATGTAGAATGCAGGGTGAATTGTTTACATGTATTTTAGTCTTAGTTAACCCCCTTTTTTCTCTTTTTCTGTTTCTTTTTTGATTTTCCTTGGTTTTTTTTCACAAAACTTGGCACTGCTTCTCAGTTTTGAAGTTTAATTATCTGTGTAAACCACAGCTGTCTTCGTGTATTGCCTGTTTTGGTACACCTGTTGAGCCCATGTTTGTTTGTTTTCAAAAAAACTGTTTCTTTTCCTGCTTCATAGAAAAAGAACTTAAAGATTTGCTTGTGTTTCTTTCTTACATACAATTTTAGAGCAGACTTCTAGTTTCAGATATGACAATAAATTGAGAGAGATTATGTCAAATGGTAGTATCTTTCCTGTTAGAAAAGACTCAAGTATGTCTTAAACTCAGGATTAGTGTTTTTCGATACAGAAAGCCAAGGCTACCTCATAATGATTATAGACTGAAGGAGGGGAGGAGTTTTATAAGCTGTTATGTACAGGTTAAAATAATGAGAATACCTAGGGGGAATGGAGAATTCCAACGGGCAATGTTTAAGATTGGAAATTTTTCTATTCCTTTATAAAGCTGCTGAGTTGGTTTGTTTCTTTTTGGCTCTCTCAAAGAATGTACTATTTCTTGAACTTCTTAGAAGAGATGTTGATCACCAGTTATAGTTCCTTTGTCAAGGACAGAAATCAGATTAAAGACTAGTTTAAAAATATGAACAATGAAGCTCTAGCAAAGACTGTGGGTAAAAGCAGAAGTTTCTCTGAAAGTGTTATACTTCTGCAAAGCCATCTCCAGTGTCAACCTCTTGTTCAAGAATTACTGCTTTTCTTTGGTTTTCCCCGAACAGCTCAGCAGGTGTCCAGTGATTTTGCATTGGTCACAGAGATAAGACTGACTGCTTCCCCTCGCTCCTGTTGTTTTTTTTTAATACTATGTCAAGTTGAAGTTAGCTGTGCACAAGTGAAAATCTGTTTTTTTAGCTCACTATGCTACCTTGTAACTGTCAACTAATGTTGCCTGAGTAATAGCAATTTTCTCATTTGAAACACAAGAAAGGGAGGTAATTTTCTGTAAGTTTATAGCTCTGCTTTTCTTCACTGGAGACAAGAATATCATGTAACAGTTGATTTTTATCTGAGATTACATTAGGCCCATATAACATATACAATTTCGCCTGTAGTACCAGGTAGAATAGAGGGGGATTTTAGACTTTAAAAAAAACCCAAAACAACTTAGTCAAGAACATTATCCAGGTAATAGATGTTTAAATATATGTTCTGTAGGACACAAAATATTCCTGAGTGTTTCTGTTGGCCTTTAAATTACACAACTACACTGCAAGTAGTTGGCGTTGTACATAGTCTGCAGTTTAATTCATGTCACATGAAACCACAAAGCCTGGTGCTGCTGTCGATTACCTTCCATTCCCTTGAGTTCAGGATCAGGCCTGGTAACTTTTCAGGTATTGTCTCCCCCTGTGCTGCATATAGGGGAGAAAGAAAAAGCCAGGGTATGATGATGTGCTCTAGTGTTTGCAGCAGCTAGAGGCAGTCCTTTGAATTTTGCTTATCGGGTTGTCTTTACTTTAAAGTTGTCTTCATTTACAGGTATGTGACTTCTGCTCAGGTTGAAAAGTTGCACGTATTTAAGAAAAGAGCAGATCCCTGAATGTTTACACTCTGCACCCTTGGTATTTTTTAAGTCTTTGAAGGAAGCACTACTTAAACACTCAATGGATTTTTAGGTTTGCTAGTTTCCAGATGCAACGGGCATGTATTATGCAACTCTGATTTTAAAATGGGCTGGAGCCATCCCCAAAGAGGACAGATTTAATGACCTATGGATATGTATTTGCAAAGCAAACTAAGGGATTTCTGACAGTAGCAGGCATAGGAAATACTTCTGTCATGTGAAGCAGTTCTGGTGTTCCCTCAGTTACTGCTTTGCCTGTCTGTCTCCATCCCTGCTTGTAAATCATACTATGAATGAGATGATCTGGATAGGTACCAATCAAAAGTCTAATTATGAATGGAGCAATCTAGATCGGCACTGACTCAAGAAGCTGTGTGATTTGCAGACACCTACACCTTACTGCAGAGAGCAATTTCAGCTGTCTTGAGAAGACTGAACTAGATTCTCCCATATGGTACTGCTGCTGTAAAATGCAGCAGTGAGTGCTGTGCATCTTTTTTTAAGAAAATTATGTATTCTTATTTGATACCATAATTATTTTAGTTTCACGATTTAAAAATTAGATCTGGAGTCTAAAGCCTCTTATTTAGCTGGAATTACTATTTAACTATGTTGTTGCTTTTATTTTATCCAAAAAGTCTCAACTTCCATGTGTGCACAATGCCACAGTGGACCCTAGCATTCAGCTGGCCTCTTACCTTACCACAATGCAAGTAATAAACACTAAATCCTTGAAAAAAAGCATCTGGTGCAGCACAGTCCATGCCAAGAACGCTCATTAAAATGTAGTCAATAAATAACTGATGCGGGGCTACATTACTCAGATAGATGTCAGTTGTGTGAAGGAGAAGAAAGAACCTACCCAGCTATGGTATCTGTAGATGTGGGACTTTAAGAAGTAATGGCCAGTTAGTTAACATCTGGTGATTTAATACAGTTTGCTGTTTTTCCAAAGGGTACGTTGCTATGTTTGCTTCACTGGCCATGTTTTGACGTACAGCCTTGTACTGGCCTGCCTAAATTCCACCTTGGCTTTTATTGGATAAGGCATCCTCTGCTTCCTGCCCAAAGCTGTTGTGCTGAAAAATCAAGAGTTCAAGGAGATCTTGAGTTTAAAGCCTTGGCTTGTCTCTGAGTTGACAGGTGACCTGAGCAAGTTACGCAATCCTGCTTACATCAGGTAACCCTTCTGTGAAACACAGAAAACTATACCTGTCATGCTCAGGAATCTGTAGAGCAAAACTATTCTAAAAGGAATATAATGATTCAGAATGATTAATTTGATTGATTTGATCTACCTACAGGTTTGCAATACACCTGCAATTTCACAAATGTAGTGAGTGTAGTCGCAGTATTTTATCCAATGCTCCAGTCGGGAAATTCAGGCTGTGTCACTTGAATATAAACGGTAGAATCAATGCCACACACATCGTGTTGTACGTGTGTTGACAGGTCCTCATGAGCTGTCTTCCCTCACTAAACCCCGATGTACAAAAATTATCTCATATGTTGTATCTGTCATGTGGCTGCGTGACCACATATACCTGTTTGTACACATGCATGTATATTGCCTTCAGGGAAAATTCACAGAATCACAGAATGTCAGGGGTTGGAAGGGACCTTGTTTGCTTTCCTATTTTTTGTGACCAAACAAAACTTTCACCTGCTCAACTGTTCCTGTGGAGTTTTCAGAAAGCAAACTCATGTAAAGGTTTGCTCTGATATTCATGAAAAACTTGAGATATTTGCATATCTGAATCAGGTAACGTAGACTTCTTACAGCTACAGGATGTTGTATATGTGTTGTCTCAGGCAATAACTCTTCAGAGAAAGCGAGGATAGATATGCTGAGCTTTTACTTTGTGATTCTCTTCGGAGTAATGAAAAAAAATGAGTGTGAAGATACAGTTCAGGAAAGTTCTGGATAACAGCCAGAGAGGCTGTTTCAGTGCCTGTCGTAAAGGCTAGGTGGAAAAAAATCTAGTGCTTCATAGTAGTAGGGGAAGTATTTGAATTAATTGTTGTGGAAGAGTAAGGTATTAACCTTAACAATTAATACAATGAGAAGACACGCAATACAGACCTGCAGGTCGTGCGTAGTTAAAATCTCACTGGTTTTGAGTAGAGGCTCTGCCCGATCATGTATGCTGGACAAGACATTGGTTACCAATTCAGTTGAATAAAAATGTGGTAAAATGGAATGAAGCTGCTTTTTCTGTTTTACGTTTCTGAGAAGACATTTTGTACAGACCAGTGTTGCTAACTGCATGTGTCCTCTAATGATGGGACATTGCTTTTTCTTTCTTTTGGTTTTTTTTTTTTTTTTTTTTTTTTGTTATTTAAGTCCCAGCTTCTGGAG